ATATATATATATATATATATATATAGCACATATTTATTCATATAATTATATATATATATACATGTATGTGTATATATATATTACTAGGAAAAGATGGAAGGATTAATAGGAGTTGTGTGAAAAAAGTACGATGCTTTCTGGAAAATTTAAAAAATTTTGAAAAAATGATTGTTAAGGGAATATTGCTTCTCAGTGAAGATATTGTTAGGAGCGTACGCGTTAAAAGACGCTTTGTTCAGTTTTAAAAAAACGTAGCACTGGTAGTTTAAATTTTAGTAGTCGGGTATGACGGCGTTGTGGGCGCAGCTGGCACTCCGAAGGATCGCGCCACTAGTTATTTCCTCGGAATCATTCTTCGTCCCCATTTGCCGAACAATTACTACGTCAAACTTGCTTTACGCCGGTCAGTTGTTACTTTTTTTTTAATTATAATTTTTAATTGCCAGTAAAATTTGTTGAGCCCGACAGCTGAATGAATGTCGGTGATAGGCCTGTTGAGTTTGATGGGCTCAAAAAACACATTTACATTGTGATTTATCTGTACACTTTGACTGTGTTGATACGAAAGCATATGTTCTAACAGAAATAGCCCGTATGGTTATTTACTTATTATTAGCAGTGCTGCAAATTTGAAACTGTTACCATCCAGTTAGTCAAAAAACCCTTATATAGATCCACAGGGGTAACCTCAGGGATTGTTTTGTTCTCGAATTTCTCCTGTTGTTCTTAACAGAGGAGTAGGCTGAATTTTGAGAAAATGAGCTCAAAATTTCCGTCAAATTCAATTATCCAAAAGTAAATCTTCTTTGACTGGGAGGATTTTTTGTAAAAGACGCATAAGTAAGGTAAACTTATAATATCGGAAAATGCATAGCTTTTATTTTACATGTTAAGGGGTATATGTTTCAAGATAATCTTATACGAATTCCTCGAGGTAGCAGGGCCACGCATGCGAATATAGCCGAAACCACATTAAATAATGAAAAATATTTATTCTGAGTAGTATTTGTAGATCGATATTACACGAAGAAGCATGAATGGGTGATCATTGAGGGCAACACGGCTACTGTGGGAATAAGTGATTTTGCACAGGTACGATTTTGGCTTTAATCAAGATGGCGGTATGGGAAGCCTTAGATACTGCGAGTCCAGGCCATGTTGTTGCTTGTAAATGGCTTAAAGACTTTCCAGACTTTTTATGCTTAGTGCTTCAGTAATAAAATCAAAGGCAAATGAGTTTTTTTTTTTTGAATACGTGAATGTTATTTTCCTTGTTGAAATAGCATATTTCAGTAGTATTTTTGTGGAATGATTTGATTGTGCGCTATTGTAGGGAGCACTGGGTGACATTGTTTATGCAGAATTACCAGAAATTGGAAAAGAATTGAAGGCTGGTGACTCAGCCGGTGCAGTTGAAAGTGTGAAGGCAGCATCCGATGTGTATTCGCCCGTTTCTGGAACGGTGACAGAGAAAAATAAGGAAGTTGAAGATAATCCAGCACTGATTAACAAATCTGCATTTGACGAAGGTGAACTGTTGCCATTTGAGGCGCATTTTATTGTCCGCAAAAAAATTAATTGTCTCTTATCCATATGCGAAGATTCTCTTATTCATCTAAGGTATACATCCAGGTATTTCAAATATGT